TACTAGAAGCTGACCTTCAGAGTCACCCTTGGCCAAAATAAAATTGGGGCAGGGAGGGGGTAAGAATAGTTAAAACAAATAAAAAGTCAACAGCATAATTTGATTCAGGCTGACATATCTTGTGTTGAGGCTCAGATTCTCGAAGTTAAACTTCTACCCACAATACTGATTTGTATCCGGTGCCTTCTCTTGTAACATATGTCAGGTGCACCCAAGGCTTTTGTCATTATGCAGTAGGTTTGGAGGAAGGCAGAGCTACAATGATTACACAATTCCTTCCTTTTTTCAAACATCTCTCTTGGCAAGTTTGTTTTAAAATGTAACTTCAGCTCCAAAGTATTCAAATATCCATAAATAATCATGTACATTAGTCAACTGCACTGTCAAAGCTTCTGATTGCTGACAAAGTCTACTGAAATGGGAACCATTTTTGCCTAAAAATGTGAACATTTTAGCCATAAACTTCTCTAACTAGTACTCAATTTCAGCTGGGGGGGGAGGGGGGGAAGTTTTCCCAAAGAAACTTGGATTATGTAGCATCCAAAAAAGCCCACTACCTCTTCCAAGGTGAAAACTACCAAACCCTCACCCTTGTTTCAAGTGAAATCCCTGTTACCCATACCTAAAGTAGGAGTATCTGCTTTCTTGACAATGCCTATGACAGAGGAACAGGAATTAGTAATTAGTAATAACACCTTCATTTCTGTTATCTGAAGCACCCATAAATTAAAATTAAGAGGACACATGAAGTATTTTCTAGCCATAAGAGTCATACTAAAGAAATGAAAATAGGATGTTATCTGGAACTGTGGATTTCAACGTCACATGAATGGAAAAACATTTTATATCTCTCTAAAATGCAGGACAAGTGCAGCTAGGTAATCATTTTTCCACCTTGACTTCAAGTTTAAGAAGCAGAAGGGTAATGAGAAAAGCATGCCGCACCCTCCTCTTTCACCTTTTGTCCCTGTAAGTGGCAGTAAACCCTTATGCATTAAGGTGAGAAAAGGTCAAGGGGAGGGACAGGGACCAAGAGGAAGAAATACCATGAGAAAGAATTAAGACTTACACACAGAGGGTCTCTTTGCTATTTTTGGATAGAAGAAACGCTATGTATGTGCATATAGTTTTCATTTCTGTCATTATTTCAATGACACATCATTTGTTATTTCTAATATTACTGTTTAAAATCAGGTTGTACAAAATTACATATTTTTAATTTTTTAAAAATAATGTTCACTGCTAATTTTTTCCACAGAAAAAGCAAAGGAACCAAGCGGAGTACTTCCATTAGTAAGGATCTGGTGTGCTTTTTCACCGCTTAGACTACACATGACCCTAACTTGCAATTAATGCATTTAAAATGAGTCAATACGCTGCTGCCATTTTCAGTAAGAAATCTATTCAAATCCTATTCGTACAGACATTACTCAATCAAGCATGCTCTCATATTCAGCCAATTTCTTACTGGGTCTACGCTCCAGTGACTGATTGAGAAATTAGTCTCAGCAAATGAGATCATTATTACTCCCTGTACCTGCACCCATCTAGGAACATCTGAGACAAGACAGACTGTCCAATTACATCTTCCTTAACAGTCAATTCCTAAAACTAATTGAATGTTCCACTGCAGTACAGAGATGCATTTTATTATCTCCCTGCCTTTTAAGAAAAAGCCTTAAGATTTCACTCAACACAAAACTGAATTACTTTGTATTTTTCCAAAGCGATAATTATATCAGGTAATGTTGTGCATGACAGAAAAGAAAAGAAAAGAAAAGAAAAGAAAAGAAAAGAAAAGAAAAGAAAAGAAAAGAAAAGAAAAGAAAAGAAAAGAAAAGAAAAGAAAAGAAAAGAAAAGAAAAGAAAAGAAAAGAAAAGAAAAGAAAAGAAAAGAAAAGAAAAGAAAAGAAAAGAAAAGAAAAGAAAAGAAAAGAAAAGAAAGGAAGAATTATAGATGGTGCTGAAAGTAAATGATCAGTACTTTGCTACTGTCAAATAACTTCCACTTCAGAAGAGTTGATGGTTTGGTAAGAAAGTATAACAGACCTCTGGAATTAATCTTTCTGACCACATAACTACTGTACTTCTTCATTAGAAGAATTTTGGCTTTTGAAGACTGATTTGGTAAGTCATTTAAATATGTAAATACTCACCTGAATATTATCTCAAATCCTTGAAGAACACATTTTATTTCCATCTAAAGTGCTATACCTTTTTATTTTCCACTTGAATCAAAGTTTCTTTTTCCTTTTTACTGCTATGATCACTATCTCAAAAAAGAAATTATAATCTAGCCTCAAACCATTAAAGAGCAAAATAAAAAACTTGCTTGAGGATATTAATAAAGACATTCCTAAGTTACTGTACAAGCTAATGTAATGTATTTATTTGTAGCTCACAGCTCACACCATTTGGAAAAATAATTTGCAAAAAGCTATTTGTTTCTATTCTTACTATAGTCAACCATCAGTACTATCCTACGAATCTCTGAGGAAACATTACAGTGGCATCAGAATTCATAAGAAATTCACAGATCAAAACACTAAAGCAGCAACATAACAAATGAAGCAGTAAGAAGGGTTTTCCCCTCTCTCTTGGCTTAAATGGTTCCCTAAAATCAAAGTTTTATATGGTACATATCTGGCATGATTTTTGTTGTTATCCTCAAAACCTGTGTACGGAAAATTTTCCTTTCATAGACTTAGACTTTTCTATCTCAAAGGAAAAAGTAGGCATGCTTTAATAACATCATCTCAATCCACTTGAAAAGCCTTCTTAATTCTTACTAAAACAATCTAAACTATTTAAGGAAACATTTTGGTTTTATTTAGAACAGTACACCTTATGTAATGAAGTGCAAAACTGGTATGTTAACTGACGTACACAAGCCAATTAAGAGTCTACTGCAAACATGCTGATTTATACTAACAGAAGCCTGAACCCCAGCATACCGGGTAGGCCAACATGCACTACAGAATGCCATCCTCTGCATACATCCTCGCTCCTAGGCAACATACCATACAACTCAATTCACTTTAGCGTGCTTACCTGTGGAGGGGGATCCAATAGTTATCCCCACTAGCAGTCAAATGGAATGTGATAACTAGCATTCAATGTCAATGCCAGCTTTGAATTTCACCATCAACAGGAAGATGGTTTTCCCTTTGCCTGTGAACATGTCTACCTGGTTAAAACACTCCTTAATACATAAAGGAAACCCTACAATTGCAGTATTGTCCTATATCTAACAGGACTTCCAGTTGCACCTCTCTTGCCTACTACACTGCTCAGCCATGATACAGTTTGACAGTTTTCCTTCAGCTTTCCTTAAACTTGGAGAGAAACACTAAGAAAATAGGGCTCACCTTCAGTATTGTCAAGTTCATTAATACAATGAAAAGATTGGATTTACGAAGCTGTAAACAACAGTGTTGTCCTGGTTTCCAAAATACAGTTTTAAGGTCAAAGATTCTCCCAGTGACTGGAATATTTGATTATTCCCAGGTTTGTTTTCAATCATGGTATGGTTGCAAGACTAACCAAGGACAGTTAGATATAACTGTCTTATTCTTGAGTTAGAATAGAGAGGTTCCCACTCTTTTTGGTATTTAAGAACAAAATTCCTAAAGATTTTAATAAATTTAAAATATGTTTATCAGCAGCCAAATGTCTCACATATGCCCCAACATTTAGTCATGATATATTGATGTGCTTTAAAAACTGACAAATGACTCCATATAACATAAGCTTCTTCCTTCTTCCTGACAAATTCCATTCAGTGAGTTCTGCTTCTCTTCGTATACTGAAATATCCAAGAAGTTTGTGCAGAGAGAAAAGAAAACTAGCTTGCATTTTTCACCAGAGGAAAAAAAAGGGGGGAGGGGAAGGGAGGGGAAGGGAGAGAGAGAGAAAGAGAGAGAGAGAGAGAACAAGGCCCATGTATCAGCTATTTTTGTTTTGCAAACTAGTCAGGACTTGCACATTTTAATTTCAGTTGATGACTGATAAGTGATACACACAAACACAGTGTAAGATTTTTGAGTACTGCAGACCTATGAAAATTAGATCAAGCACCTGATTGTAGATTAAAAATTAGGCGGGGGGGGGGGGAAGATGTAACATTAACTGTGCTCTGGTTTTCAGCTTTTAGTGAGCTCTTAATTTATTAGTTATAACTTGTTTTTGTTGGAGGGGGTTCAGAAAAGGCTGTGAGATTTTTCTAAGTGTCAGCTTAAAAATACTTACAACTATTTCTTAAATGCCAGCTTCATAAATGTATAAATAAAATTCAACATTAAGACCTCTGAACTTGGAGAGACGTGCTCAGAACAGGAAATGATAGTTTGTTAATAAAGAAAGGTAAATCATTCTCTAGACTTCCGGTGGGAAACTTGGCAGCGAAAGGATTTTGACCTCAGTGGAAGGTAACTGCCACAAATGACAAATCTAGCAACTTTCTTCATACAAGTGAGGCAAATGTTTGACACCAAGGCTGGACTGCGTTCACATCTATCATTCCCTGTGGCATATTCTTCTGCTTTTAGCAAATAATCCCGCAAGCTTTTTGCACTGACGGTATCAATCTTCCCCTTTTTCCCCCCCTCTTTGAGTAAAGCTGTGCAAACCTAACATTTTTTGTGAATGATTACTTATTTCCGATCTGAAGCACAAAAGCTCATCACTTACAGAATAGGTCAATCTTTCAGTGCCCATTATTGCTAGTCTGGAATAAATCAATGCATTTTCCTATGTTCATTTTCCTTCTCAGATGCAGGACCAGCATATGTGACATTTGTGTAAAGGAAGTTAAAATCCTGCATTACATTCAGGTGAAGCATTAAACAAAGAAGCAAAATTATGTTTAAAAATCTTATTCTGATTTTCCAGATGGTCAGATTAGACTCACCGTAGCTATATTACTTCAAAGTCTGCAATTTAAAGTACTGATTTTCCCAACTCAAAACAATAAATAGGGGGAAAAATGACAAGTAGCCCAGTTTAATTTCAAACGTTAATATATTTTCTATTTTATAGTGAACATATGCATCGTTCACCCCTTATTTGCAGCAACTATGACGTCCTCATAAAAAGGGGTGACACTTGTAAGATGCCTCTTAAAATAAATATTTCTTTTTATAAAATAATAAAACTTCAAATAAATATTCTTTACACTAAACAATATGTTGAAAAAATTAGAAAATAAAGGCTGAATTTTACTGTAACTGTACAATATACATGAAGTCCAATAGGAAATCAGAGTCTTGTAATAGAAGGTTTCTGTAAGACAAAATACAATCTAAAAACATACTGATTGATTCACATTCTTCCGAATGTACAACATATTAGTATAATATTTTGTGACTGTGCCATGTTTTATGACACCACTTATTTTTCACAGTTGAAAATATTATTGTATATACAAAAATATAGCACATTATCTCTGGCAGAAAACAATGAAAAAAGAGAGTCATTTGCTAATTTACAAATTTTGCAAGTACTATTCACAAACCACGGAGTTGCCTAGGAGTGTCTGTGTTGCTTTAGCTTATGCAATATGTGGGTCACGATGTACTGCATTGCCTTTTTTATTCTGCATCCCACTAGTTGGATTCTAACAAGCCTATCAATTAAGATGGCACACAGAGAAGAGTGTGTCACTGCAAACAGATAAGTGTACCCCCAACCCTTCTACTACAGTGCCAAGACCATAGCTGCTTAGTTGGTTGCATATATGTTAAGATAATCCTTACTACTCGATTATTTCCGATAAGTGATGCTATGTTGGCTTTTCAAAGTTCCTGGGGGGGACACTGGGAACTTTGCAGCAAACTGTGTTGGAGTGTTTACAGCGGCACCCAGGCCGATTGACCCGGTCGTAACAGCCCTGACACAACTTAAGGCAACCCTTGGCTGGCAGGTAACACCACAAGCAAGGCAGGAAGAGGGACACCACACCCATGGCTGACCATCTAGTGCAGCAGTGCGACTGACTGCAAGAGCAGGGGTTGTCAGCACAGTTGTCCTCGTCATCATTGGAGCAGTGATAGAAGAGGCCCTTCACGCAGCACACGCAAGTCCCGTAATCAACCACGTTCTGGGCTGAGCAAAGACACTGTTTGTCACAAATCCAACACGATGGGAGGGTCCTTGGATACGTGCACTCCTTGCACTTGCACTTCCCACAGTCCTCGCATCTGTAGCTGTGTGCTCCCAAGTCTTCTTTGCCCAGCGGCTTCAACTCGCTCGACTTGAGCTCAGACTTGGGCTGCATGCAGACTATCCCGTCAGCAACTGGCCCTGAAGATGATCCTAGAAGTCTGTGTTCAGAGGAATTACTGCTCGTACTTGTCCTTGTACTGCTCCGCGAGCCCGTGCTGACTGTGCTGATGGAGCGGGACAGAGGTGCCCGAGGAGAAGCGTGCGTTTGCGTGTGCTGAACCCGGCTAAAATGGCGATGCTCAGGGAGACCATGGGGCCTCTCATTTTTGGGTTGGCTCACTGGACGAGGAGCAGACTTGATCCCTGGCCGCGGAGCCACCGTCGGTCCCTCTGTGTACTCGTTTGTGTTGCGGATGGCTCTGATCTGATCCAGGGACAGGATGTGGACTTGCTGCGTCAGGACATCCCGCAGGTCGGGCTCTCCATGTGGCCTCCCACTGTCACGCCGAGCCTGTAGCAAGGCCTGCGACCCGCTGCCATGCTGAGCTCTCATCTCCATCGCTGCCCGGAAGCGTGCTCACCCCAGCAGGCTTAGAACACATCTGAAATCCTGGAGCAACAAAGAGAGGATTCACTAATTGCAACGCATCTCATGCTCTCCAGCAGCCTGTGGGATTTCACAGCACTGCACACATTCAAGTAATGCATCAGCCATTAAATAAGGATTCACAGCTCGGGGAAGCGCAGTGCTGGTCAGCTAAGTATGCTCTACTTGGCCTCCCCCTACTACTCCTGGGGAGAGCTTAAAGAGATTCTGTTCTAGGTCCATGCATTTCAACCTGTGGCTCTAGAAAGCCCAAGGATGATGCCTGGTAACTAACATGTCCCTGGCCATCCTCCTGCCAGACCACGGCCTCTAATCTGACCAAGTTCCAGCCCCTTTAAAGTGACTCTTCTTTTCACACCATACTACTGAAAAACTTATTTTACATTAAATAAGAAAGAGTCTGCAAGCATTTAGCAAGTGTAATGTGACCTGTTGATGACAGACATATAATTCTCCAATTTTGTTTAAAACTGGATAATATTTTCGTAGGCCAGTCTCTTTACACATTAAACTTTACATGATGTAAATAGGAAATTTTAGTTTAATACCAATGGTCCCAAGAAAAACACTAAATAGCAATAAAATGTTTGAGGTTAGACATTAAATGAGTTAGTGCTACCAAAAACTTCAGCAGCACAAGTAAAAATATCTTTCTCCAATATTTTAGTGTGTGTCATACTTGTACGCCACTGCTATTGTTATTTTAAGGCTCAATACTACAAAAAGCAATGCTACCAGTTTTGTTATTTATAAAATGTGTAAAAAATTCCAGAAACTAAACCTCAAATATTACTTAGAGTGGCTTTTGGTAGAGAGGCGTGAATAATGCCATCAGATAACATCAGCACCCAAGGAGGTTACTTGGTTGCTAACATAGCTTTAAAGGATGAATAACTACAAAGTTGAAAGGCAAACTTCAGAATTTAAATGGGAAGTCAGGAAAAGACCCAAAAGATGGGGCCTTACACATAACTTGCTACCACGTTAAAATATGCACAAGTTTCAAGCGCCGACCTCTGAATCACTCCGTATTTGTTTTGCCTTTATCATATTTTAAAGCAGTTCCTAAATCCAATTACCTACACAAAAATCCAGAACAATATTTTACAATTAAAACCCAAGCAGGAACCAAGCTCCTTACAAGGACCACACAATGTCTTCAATTATACCTAGAGAGAGCACCATAGTGTTACTCTGTACACATCAGTTACCAACAAGAATACTATACCACAGTATAATAAAATATAGCCAAACACTTTAACAATGAACATCTCCAGACACTGTCTTTCTTCTAACAGCAGCAGAAAGCATTTAACTCCTGGTGCCCTCCCCTCAAGTGCTTTTTCCTCCCAAAAAAATCTAGGCTTTAAGAGAGACTATTTTAAACATTGCCAACTCCTAGTTTTGCATGCAGAGTGTATCATGGTGCTCCCCCAAAAGTCTTAAAAGCTTATCTTGAAGCAGCATTACTTATGTTTTCTTCAAATTCAAGCCTCTGGTGTACAGAAAGTTTCAGAAAGTAGGCATTCCCTCGTCTGATTAAAATAAAATAAAATAAAATACTCTTCCCATTCCCGAGAGTAACTGCTAACCCTATATCCAGGCATCCAGACCGGAGCCCGCAGACCCTGAGCCAACTCCTGCAGAAGTGACAGCCCCGAGCAGAAACCAGACTGCCCCCGACCTGCAGAGCGCAGGGGACGAGCGCGGTGCAGGAGCCCCTCGGACGCCGGACGTCCCCCGGCGCGGCTGCATCCGGGCGCGCAGTGGGAGCGCAGCAGGTGGGACGCGGAGCCCCGAGGCTGCAGGCGGCGGCCCCGTGAGTGCAGACAACCTGGAGATTAACAGGAGACATCCCCGGCCCGGGAGGTGGGAGGGGGCGGCCGCAGTCGCCTTATCAGGAAAGTCAAACCCATGTTTCCTTTTAACTCTTCCCCCTTGCCCTCCCCCGGGAGATGCTCAGGAAGCATTTCCCTGCTGGGCAATGCGCGGCGCCCCGCAGACTCTTGGAGACAGCACCTCCGGGATAGCCGGGCAGAAAGCAGATTGCCACCCCCTTCCCCCTCCCCGGCTTGCTCTGAGCACTCTTTCAGTCGCCGAAGAAACGAACTGTCCGAACTTGAGCCTCCCGCCCCTGCCCAGGAGGCACTGTCAGCCCGATCCAGGTCATCTTTCCTTATTCCCCCTGACAGACCCTAACGGGACAAGACGTAAGCCTCCAGCACCTTTATTTGCAATCATGCCCGAAAGCTCTGAGGGAAAGCTCTCCCTGTTACCCAGCACCCTTCCAGCTCTTAGCCTTTCTGTGTGTGCATGTGGGCGATAACACCGTTCCCCACTTACAGAAACCAAAGTCCACTCTCGAACAGCTCAAGTACCACGAGCGCTGCCTACTCCTGGCTGGGATTGGCAGAAGGGCGAGCGGGGGGGCGGTTTTCGTCTTCGCATGTCTGGGGAAGTGGCAAACTCAAGGGGCTTCTGCGTGCTGCGTGTGGAAAATCCCCGCATCGCGGAGGGGGCCTCGGGCGAAGCGGTCCCTGCCTGGGAGTTAACTGCGTCGTGTTCGGAGCCGCGCAGCACACCACCCCCACCGCCCCGCACACACCCCCGCCACCCTCCCTGCTTTCACAGGGCTTTGAAACCCGCATTAAGGACAGAGTGTGCCATCAGACTCTGGATTAGGGCAAAAGGGACTTTACATCAGGGTGGGGCAAGCTGACAAGCTGACACACAAGTAACTTGCTGAGAACACCAGCAGATAAATATATATATTGGAGTTGAAGGGGGGGGGGGGGAGGGGGGTTTACACAGTAAACCCACACAAAAAAAAAAGTCTTTCTTCCCCTCCACACACGAACTCTGCGAAGTAGAACCTGGGGAAGAAATTTCCCCGTCTCGTGGATCGAATTAAGTTTCACCGCGCGAGAAATACGCACGCACCCGCAGCCGCACAGATGTATTTACACACCAGCCGTGCACTCACTTCCGAATGGCACGGATCTCCCGACGCCACCACACACGGGCGTCAATCACGGCGCTCCCCCGGGCCCGGGGCACCGGCGGCCCCGCAGCGCCCTCCCTGCGCCTCCCCCGGGGCAGCACCGCCCGTGCCCGGCTCCCCACAGCCGGGAGAACGCGGCCCCCGCCTCCCCGCAGCCCCCCGGGCACGCGTGCGCGCCCGCGCAGCCTTCCGCCCCCGCGCAGCCTCGCGCCCCCCGGAGCAGCGCGACGGGGCGCAAATATAGCGCAGCCCTCAAAACCCTCCCCGGAGAGAAAGCGCTCCGAAATTCCACCTCCGGCTCTTCTCTGGGAAAGGAAGGAGAGGGGAAGGGGAGAGACGGAGAACCTGTGCGAGAGGAAAAGGAATCGGCCTCAAACATTTCCACGAGTTTTCTTGGAGCAGCGCGGGGGGGCTAGGGGGGTTACTGAAAAGCTTGTTTTGCAAAGAAGGAAAAGGCTCTCACCGTGATCGCGGCGCTGCACCAAACCCCTCTCTCTGTTGTATTTTCTTCTTCCTGCGGTTTGCAAATAAATCCAGCCCTAAAGCAAAAAAAAAAAAGTTCTTTTCCAAACTCTGCTTTCGTCCAACTTGCAAATGAGAATCAGAACGATCAGCGTGCAAAAAGTCCGGAGCAAAGTCAGTCCCTCTGCCCAGATCGACTGTAAGAACGTGTGTGCGCCTATGTGCTATAGTAATAATCAGAACACCTCTCCGGATCTGGGTGGGTTTTCTGTGCTCCTCCAAAGAACTCACTCACACACACTTTCCTTTTTCTCCCTCAATGAACAGGAGGCCGAACCGCCAGCACCGAGTCACTTTTTTTTTTTTTTTTTTTTTTTTTTTTTTTCCTGCCGTTGCAAAGGATCGAGAGGAAGGGGAAAGCCACAGAAAACAAAATCAAGTGGATCTAAAATCCGATGGCAAAGCTTTCTTCCAGCGAGCTCCTCCGAGGAAGCAGCAGCAGCAGCCGGGCAGGGGGGCCGCGCTGCCGAACGCCGCTCGCCGCACGCTCCTCTCCCTCTCTCCCTCGGCTTTCTCGCTCCCTCTGCGAGCGTGTGTGTGTGTGTGTGTGTGTGTGTGCGTGTATGTGTGTGTGTTGCAGGCGGCTCTGCGGTTTGCGAGCGGGGGGGGGTGTTTGGGGAGCGCAGCGGATTTGTGGTGGTGGTTGTTGTTGTGTGTTTGGAGGAGGTGGAGGAGGAGGAGGAGGAAGGTTTGAGATCTGAGCTGGAGGGGCTCGGCGTTTTTCTGCTTGCTCTCTCTCTCCCTCTCTCTCTTTTTCTTTCCGGAGGAGGTAGGGTGATCTCTCTGCAAAAGCAGCAGTAAATGGCGTCATGTGGATCTGAGGAGGAACAGAGCAGTTGTTGTCCCAGAGGATATATCGCATCCGGTCCCAGCTCATTGGCTCTGCGGGGCTACATTCACTGGCGCTCCCAGCGCCCTGCCAGCACTCCGAGCTGCGGGAGGCATTCAAAAGGGCACTGCTGCCGCCGCTTCCACCACAACCGCGGCCCCGCTCTCAGCCTCGGCCCCGCTTCCGTCGGGCCCCGGTGCCGCGCGGAGCCCCGCGCCCCTCTCCGGGCCCGGCCGCAGCCTGTTCTCATAGGAGGCAGCTCCGTGCGCGGCCACACGGCGCTCGGGGCTGCTTTTGTGCTCGCATGTTTATCCAGGGGCCGGCAGCGATCGGACTGCAGGGCGGCCGAGGGGAGCTACTTTCCCCGGGGGGAGCGGGAGACCCATTCCCAGGTGCTTCCCCTCCCCCAGCCGTGTTTTCTTTTTTCCTTTATTTTCTTTTTCTTTTCTCTCTCTCTCTCTTTTTTTTTTTTTTTTTTTTTTAAATCCCCTCTATGGAATAAAAGTTTGAAACTCTCTGCTCCCTACCCCCCCAACCGGCAGCAGGAAGGGCCGCTTATTGCCCGCGGCATTGTGCCGCGGATTAACGCGAGGAGGCGGCACGGCGGCGCGGAGCGGGGCCCGCGGGCAGCGCGGGGCGGGCGGCGGCAGGGGCACAGCGGGGTCTCCCACAGCCCCCAGAGGACTGCTTCTTAGCGTCGTTAATTTGTAATTTCGGTCGCTTTTATGAAACTTCCGTTGTAATGGATTCTCACTTGTGTGAGGAACGAGGCCAACGGGCAGCTGACAGAAGTGGCTGTTTATGTGCGGGGTTCCCTTGGCACGGCCGCAGCCGGTCCCCTCCGCACGGGCTACAGTGCCGCGGGGCCCGGGCACTCCGCGCCGCCCGCGTGTGTCTTTAAGCGCGCACAGCGGCGTATCCACGTCGGCATGCACAGAGCGCTCGTACACCCCTATCACGTGTGACCCTGCTTAAAATATACCCGGCGTGCCGAGCTGCGATGTGGCGCGTTATTTACACGGGCGGTTCTCGGGGCGAAAGCCCTGAGAACTCTTTCTAATGCTGCAGGCAGTTGGCAGCACTTCCTCTTCTCCACCTGCTGTCACCGCTGCTTGACTGAGGGGTCACTTAATAAAAATGGGGGTGGGGGACGTGGTGGAGAAGGCAATGTAGTACACCGCCGGCCTTCAGGTTTTCAACATTTTCTAAGTCGATGTCACAGTAATATTGTGAAGCTGCGCGTTATTTCTCACAGTTTCTCTATGGGACGGCCACAGTTCAGCGCACCTTCCTTCGTGCGCCCTCCCGTCCCACCTCCACACCCCGCAGTTCCCGAGCAGTGCCCCTCAGGCACCGCGGGGCCCCCGGGGCGGGAGGCGGCGGCGCTGCCGCTCCCCGCCAGAGGGAGCGCGGGGCACCGCGGGCAGAGCGCGGTGCGGGGCACAGAAACCCCTGCGGATCCACGGGGCCGCCAGCAGTGTGTGGGATTTGCTGAGGAAGGACCTGGGCATCCTCAGAGGTGTGCGCTACGTTCAGACTGCGCCGGGAAATCCATGGGATTTATCTGGGAGGGATGAGCACGGGTTAATGTAGGAAAAGACAAGAACAGTGTTGATTTAATTTCACCTTGAAACTTAGTAAAGGCAAAAATAGGTAGGGAACGCTGTGTACAAGCCTATGGATACGGGAAAGCCTGCTAGATTGTTTCACAGCATATAAACTGAGCACATAAATAGTGTGTAAATTGGAAAATCCACTATACCATGTTTTACAAGTTGGCAGTCAGTAGTGAAATCAGCAGTACAGGTGTGGACACATAATGCAGTGAGCTGTCCCACCGACAGATATGAAAGCAGTGGAACTATTTTCTTTCACAGAACCACTCACGTGTGCAAAATGAAGTATCAGTGTTACAGAAAAGCATTTTAGAAAAGCAAAAATCAAGTACGCAGCGTCACAGCGCTGTTTAGTTTGAAAGAGAAGCACTAAACCTACAAAGATTTGTGCACAAACAGCATGCGTAGAAGGAACCAAAACTAATCCACACATCTACAGCATTAAGCACACACATACATATATTCTCATACTGGGATCTCAAAGTTGAATTTTCAGACCTTTGATCTGATGATTCTTTGGGACCAACCTTCACAGGATTACATCTCTCTCTCTCTCATTGCACATTTCTTGTCAGAGACAGTGGTTCAATGCATGTGACTATGTTTCCCCTAGTGGCTTGCTCTAACCACTGCATGACTTAATTTGTTTTATTTTACTTTTAACCCTTGTTTGTGCAGATGAAGGTCTTGGATTCATTCTCAGCAGAGGCATATGCCTGTTGTACATACATGTATGCACAAACACACACATTTACATTAGAATAGTATCAATGTCACAGAAGCATAAAATAGAGTTGGAAGGAACCCTCAAAGACCATCTGGTCCAACTCCCCTGCAATGAGCGGGGACACCTACAGCTGCATCAGGTTGTTCAGAACCCCGTCCAGCCTGACCTTGGATGTCTCCTGGGACAGAGCATCCACCGCCTCTGGGCAACCTGTTCCAGTATATCACCTTTATCATAAAACCTTTTTCCTTATATCCAGTCTATACACAAATTCAGAGACTTCCTGTGAAGGGTCAGGCAGAGGAAGGTCTGTGATGTGCGATCCATCTGAAATGGTTGAAACTTTTCTGCAATGCTCTGAAATTGTCTCTTAAGATTTGGGTTGAATTAATTTTCTGACCCAGGACCTGACAACAGGTTGTTATTTGCCTCCTTTTTGTAAAGTAAAAGGGAGCTCATTCACAGGGAATTGATTCCTGCAAGGGAATGAATGTGCAGTAAATCTGCTGACCTCCGGAACTCTTTGTGCATTATCTCATGAGCTAATGCACTGATAGAAGGATATTGATTCTGCACATCCTGAAAGGACTAAGTTTGGCTGCACACCACTTCTAATGCTCTGCATTTCCTTAGAAACGTAAACCTTTAATTGATTGCCTTTCCTGTTTGCAACTCTGAAAAAAGGTAATGTACTTAAGAGAGTTATATGATTTTTTTATTATTATTTTTTTAAAAGTAGCTTGTGATGAGCTGTGAAGTCTTTTGCCTGCTGATACTTCATTGAGAGATTCAGGGCAGACCAGGACACTTAGATGTGTCACACAGAGAAATAGAGAAGTCAAACTCACCTTACTATGAATAGCTGGACTTTTTTTTTTTTTTTTTTTTTTTTTTTTTTTTTTTTTTTTTTTAAGTTAAAAAAAGAATGTTTTTGTGATTCAAAACCACTGTTTTTGCTGTTGTGATTTTCAGTGTAACTTTTCCTAAAGAAATCCCAGGAATCCTTCAGAGTGAAAAATTAGTGAAGGCACCACGTCCACCATGCTCCTGGGAACCTATGCTGGTGGAACAGGGTACAGTGTGCAAACCAGAATAAATGCCACTCTAGTTTGGAATACGCCTGCTCTGCATCTACTGAAAGTTGGCCTCCTGCTGTCAGTGAAGCCAGATCTTCTGGGATTAAGTCATTCAGATCTGGCTAATGATTACCACCTTCCTTAAGTATCCTTAGAGGTGACATAGGCCTATGTGACTTCTCCCCATCTGATGGCTGCTCCTGTATAAGGAGGGACAGTTGCTTTTCTTGCTGAATACCAACTGTACTTATGTAAACTTAAACGATAAACAAATCCCTTTCTTGATTCTTCTGAAATTGTACTAAAGAATATGTGCATTTAGTATTTATAATATAATGTAGAGCTTTTGCATGTAAATTGTTCTAATAAAGCTCGTGTGTTCTTTGATGTGCTGTTCAATGTTATTGGGTTATATTTGTAGCCTTGATAAAATCAGCACTGGTTTTTTGGAATTCAACTTTATAAACCTTTCCAGTTTATACAACTAATTTATAATTAGTTCTCTCTTTTCAAGGGCCTCGAGACCCAATTTTCAAAAGTGGGACAATTTGGTGTGGACAGGACTAAGTGCAGTTTATTTGCTAAACAGGATTTATGGAAAGCTTTTTATTATGTATTTGTTTGCCCTGAGATTTTCCTCCTAAAATTTTCAATTGCTTTGGCTGAAATCATGAGGATGGCAGCACAGGCAAGCCACGTCTGTCAGCATTTTAAATGCTGCACTCTCTAGCCTTATTTCACTTAGAGGCTAGATAATGTGGGCTTGATGATACTAGAATTTTATGCAAAAACTAATTGCCTATTAAAATACTAGTAAGCAAGTACTAGTTTGGAAATTCCCAACATATTTTTCAACAAGATGCAGACACTTGTGTGTTGACCTGGAATTAAAGTGACTTAGAAGGAACAGAACAGATCAATTATGCTTGTGTTCAGAGCACTGGAACAAGCTGTCCAGAGAGGCTGTGCAGTCTCCTTCTCTGGAGATAATCAAAACCTACCTGGACGCTTTCCTGGGCAACCTGGGAACCTGCTTTTAGCAGTGGGATTGGATTTGATTTCCAGAGGTCCTCTCCAACCCCTACAATTCTGTGATTCAGTGTCAGCAGTTATGGGAAATCTGAGGATAAGCAGGTTTTTGAAGAGATTATATCTCTATTGTGGCACCGTTTTTGCAGCAGTTGTTTTCAAAAGTCTTCAGTTTGCAGACTTCTACATTTTGAAAGAAAAAAAAAATAAGGGAAGTGTAGTTTCTTTTAAAGAAAATTATAAGACCTCCCATTTAGAACTAGTCTGTAGGAATCCACAGATCACAGTTAGAAAACCACTGATGTAGAGATACCCAGACTAGCCCTAAACTGCAATGTAGTGGAAAGGTAAATGAATATCTTGTGTACTGCAAGCAGTGTAGCTGGAAAAGGGCAGGACACCCTCTTGTCTTCAGAGGGTGAGGTAGATGTCATGGATCTTCATGCTGCTCCCAGAACATAAGCTACTTTTCTTCACTGGAGGCTGGAT